CCGCTGTCCTTTTTCTGCCTCTTCTGCATCCCCTGACGCTCACTGCTCCGGCACCAAGTTCCAGCTGCTCCTGCAGTCCTGGCAATACAGCCAGAAACCAAGTGGTGCTGGAGCTGCTGGCAGGCAAGCAGGGAGGTGGGGGGAGTGGGGAAATAGCTGCAACAGATGGGGGAGGAAGGGGCAGCGAGCAGGAGCATGGAGTGCAACAAAAGCTGGGCAGAAGCGTGAGGCCCATGCTGATGCACCAGGGCCAGTGCCAGCGAGGCCTACAGCACAGGGGCAGGCACAGGGGGTCTGGCCCGGGGGGGGTCTGTGGCCAGGCTGGCTCCTCCTCTCCCTGCTCGAGCAGCGCAGCCCAGCTCCATACAGCCCCTGATGGCCCAGACCCTGTGCTCCTGGGCAGAAACTGCTGCTCAGCGCAGGGGAAGTAGTGCCCCCCTCGCTGCTGCTGGGTAGTTTTAGCTGCATCCACCCAGAGCCCACACCATGCTAGGCTGCAGAGCAGCTCCTTCATCACCATCTCTGTGCTGCCCAGCATGGCAACAGTGACCGTGTGGAGCAGGTGCAGGGCAACTCACAAGCAGCAATGAAGGAGCCGCACCACAGCCTAGCACGGCGCGGGCTCCAGGCAGCCGCACCAAAACCTGCCGCACGCTGTCGGGTGGGGGCGGGGGTCGCACTTCCCCCATGCCAAACAGCAGTTTCTGTCCAGCTGCTGCAGCTCAGCAATGACAGGCGAGCCCGGAGCTGGTGCAGGGCCCAGGCTGAGCAGCAGTGATGCGGAGCACACTGTTGCTCAGCACAGGGAGGAAGCAGCCCCTCCTGCTGCCGGCGCTCGCTGCTACAGCTGTTTGTAGCCCACACTGGGCTGCCTGTGCCTGGTCTCCGCTGCCACTGCTGCCCCCCGGGGCAGCCCAGGGACAATGGTGATGTGGTGGAGACGCACACAGCCCCATGTGGGCTCCGGGCAGCTGCACCAGGAAGTGTCAGCCGTCTGGAGGGGGAAAGGCCGCTTTTCCCCCATGCTGAGCAGTAGTTTGTCCCACACCGCCACAGCTCAGCCCAGACGGAGCTCAGCCCTGTACCATGGGGCTGCGGCAGGGGGGCTGGGCACAAGTGCCAGTGACAGCCAGGCGGCAACACAGGGCCCTCACCAGTGTCCCGGGGCCAGTGACAGTGGGGCCCAGAGTAGGTGCTCTATGGAGCCGGGCCAGCTCCCCTCTTGTACCCCTGCAAGTCCATGCCCTGTGCTCCTGCTGCCCTGCTCTGGGCTCCGCCAGCACTAGCCTCAGTGCACCAGCGCAGGTCCCACACTCCCGTCCAGCTCTTGCTGCGCTCTGCGCCTGTTCAGTGCCCCTTCCCCCCCACCTACTCACCTAACTGCCTGCAGCTCTGACACCAAGCTCTGACACCACGTGCTTCCTGGATGTATCACCGGAACTTTAGGAGCCAGCCTGGCCCAGTCCTGAGGCGATTGCCTGTGGTCCTTCCCTACCTCCCTCCCCACTCCTTCTCATCTGTATTTCCCTTAGCACAGGGAGGCAAGAACAACCCCAAGCCTGAAGCCCCTGCTGCAGAAGCCCCTGGTAGGCAGAGGCTGGGGCTGATGGGGGCAGGGCCAGGCTGTGCCACTGGCTCCCCCTGGGTCCTACTGCCCTAGCTCCTGTCATCTTTGACAGGCAGCCAGGGGCAAATGAATATTAATTTTCTAATTTTTTTAGGAGCCCCACAGGCTGGATAGAATGGCCTGGAGGGCCGGATGCAGCCCATGGATGTATTTTGCCAGTCTCTGATATATACCCTTTTCTTGGAAAACATTTTATGAAAGATTTTTAGAAAATGAAATGTAAGCATGGCAGGAGAGGGGTGGGGATAAGTAGTAGGGAGGCAGGCATGAGTTAGGGCCAGGAGCCAGGCTGCTTGACTCCCCCACCACCATCCCCCTTATATCTGCCCCTCTGCCATTGCCATTGGGAAGGGGGAGGGTGCAAGGAATTTAAGACAACCCTCCAATAATAAGGTTCTATACATGGGACATTGGAAGAAATGTATAAATGTTCCATATACAGAATCTAATTATTGAGGGGTCATCTTAAAATTCAGAGTTGCCTTGGATTCAGGTAAATATGGTATGTTTTCATAAAACAAACAACATTCCAAATTTTTATTTGATGATGCTCCCTAATTCTGAAGTAAAAGTGCACTCTAGTAAAATGTATTGCTCAGTTCATAAGATATCCTCCTTACAGCATTTTAATAGCACTCTGTCTGTGCAGGGCACAACTTACTCTTCCCCTATGATATTTCAAACAAATCATAATTAACAGACTGGAACAGATTAAATTAGCCTCCTCATCATGCCTGCCTAAAAAAATCCGTCAGTATCAGTGAAGGATTTTCAACTTGAGGATGACAATCCTCTAGGAATATACAAATGACAATGAGGTGAGGAAGAGCAGATAAACTCAATGACCTTCCAACATTGCTATAAAGCAATGATCTTGCTTACAGGAAAGGAGGAAGCCTGGAGTTTAGCAGGCAGGAAATGAGCCCAGTATGGAAAAAGAGAGAATTGCTAGCTTAGGATGCTGTCATTCCAAACCAGTAGAGATAAGAACAGGGGAAAAAATCTTAAACTAATTGTAACAGAAAATGTTCTGGTACATGATTAAAAGACACTGACATAAAATGACAACACACTACATCTTTAATGTAGAATAAAATACATCCTTCATCCCTCAATGAAAATAAATAGCTTAGGGCTCATTTTATTTCCATTACTCTGGAAGTATTCATTTAAAAGTAATTTTTCACTATGTGGCCTGAAGAATAAAATGCTATAATAAATTTAAACATCCAACATACATTTCTTTGCAGAAGTAGTAGAAGAGTGGTTCTCAACCAGGGTGCCATGACACAGGTGCTGCTGTGGCCACAGCAATCAGGTAATAACATTGCCATGCATGTACTCCTGCTGTATTAGGGCTGTGATCAGCCTAAAGCAGGCAGGAGTTGGAGCCCTCCAAGTCCGGCCCCTCTCAAACTCCTCCCAGAAACAGAGGCACATGGGACAGTTTCGCCCACCTGCCTGTTTCTGGGAGAAGTCTAGAAACGCACAGACCAGGAAGGGCTACATAGCATAAGGCAATTCCTCCCTGCTTTAGGCCAATCACAGACCCATAGCAACAGAAGCGTTCACACATGCCACTGTCCTTCCTGGGATGGTTGAGCAGCAGACACGGGGCTATTTTATCTGGAGACAGCAACACCTAGTTCATTGTGTACTGAGGTAAATTGAAGCAGCATTAACAGTGCTTCTCAACCAAGAGGCCACCACTTTTTTGAAAGTGATGGAGGGGTACCCTAACCTTGAAAAGGTTGAGAACCACTGCACTAGAAAGCTTGTTTAATGTTCTCAGTTCTAGTGCTATTCACCTCCTAGTCATTGTTTTGGCATCAATTAAACAGACAAATTGACAGAAATTCTATTTGCACAGCACTGACAACAGCAGGTTCCTGGACCTTGACTAAGACCCTTGGGCACTACGGTGGTAGTAGTAACAGTAGCAATAATAAGTTCCCCACTAATTAATATATTAGACTCAGAGTTAACTCTAAGACAATTGGTCTTCTGCCTAGTGAATTAGTAGAGTATAATCATACATGAAACTACTTTGTAAATCTTTGATTCATCCCTGTTAATTTAACACTTAAACTTGTATGTGACTCTATGCTGGTATGTTGGCTCTTTGGAGCACCTACCCCTTAACACCCTTTTTTTGTTCATTTCAGTTGTGTTCCAAAGACTGCAGTAAAGTATGCATAGTTCAACTTCTGTGAAAGGAATTTCCCAAACTTGTTCATATAGTTTCACTACACAGCTTTAAGTACATACCATAATCCGAACTGCAGCAGATAAACCGTCTAATGGAAAATCTGGAAGCCCCAGTGTTGACGACTCTTGGGAGCAAAGAGTTGCAGCAAAAGACAAGAGCTGAGAAATTCTAGATAAGAAAAAATATGCTGTTTTATACAGAGAAAATGTGTGTAGAAATGTTAAATTCTGGGAAACTAAAAACAGCATATGTTGAAACTAGTTCTGAGTACAGTAAGTTTCATGTAATAAAGTTTTGATGCATTAAGGACCCACAAAGCTATACATGAGAAGCTGTTTAATCATACTCCCACACTTACATTCAATTCAAGTCAATCTCCAGTAATATAGACTACAAAAGGCAATCCTGATAGGACATAACAGTCAACTACTTAAGACTAATTTCTTATCATTATGAAAATGTACCTGTCTGCAGAAATGTTGGATCCAACTGAGTATAATAGCTGAAGACAGTCCTGAAAATAGAACATAGCATCACATATCAAATTAATTTCTGGGTCATACTGCGGATCAAGTTCATATCATACCGAGCATTGTTTATCTTTCCTTTAAATTAGACACCATGCCTTTTGTGGCAAAGAGGCCACCCACTTTCTGAACACAAAGGTAAATTTAAAAAAAGAACATCATGGTGTTAGCATATCTTTCTTTTAGGATTTTATAATGTTTAAGTCATTATGGAGTGTTTCTTCCTTTTCAGTAATTCATTGTACTTCAACATGAACCATCCCCTCCCACAAAGTGTCAAAAGCATTCTATTTACATTCAAAGAGGATTTTTTTAAATTTTATAAAACATTAGGTCAAACTATCTATTAGTTGTGCTCAGCATACAAACTCTAAGTGATCTAGAAGGGCACTTACCCTAAAGGGTAGATAATAAACATCTCTGGCTTGGAATCGAGAACGAAGAGGAGGGTCCAATGGATTACCAGAATACTTCGGTACTGGAAGTCCTAATGCTATCACTCGAAAATCTTCACTGACTCTAACAATCTTCCATGCATCTAACTCAGTTTTAGTATGTTCCTGAAAGAACAGGAAAAAAAGACTTAGAAGTAAATGATATCTCTGGAGAAGCCACTAATAACCAGGGATCCTGGTTTTCACGGATTAAAAAAATTCTAATTTTTCAAATAAAAAAAAGTAACCCAAAATCCACATTTTTTCCGTGATTAAAATGAAACATCACTATATCTATATCTATATCTATATATATATATTTATTAGTGGCATTTCCTTTTAATCATGTAAAAATATGGTTTTTGCATTACTTTTTTAAATCCAAAAATTGGGGATTTTTTTTTAATCAGAGAAAACCAGGATCCCTGCTAATAACTAAACCGCACAGTGAAGACCTATGATCAGAAATCTTCTAACTAACTGCAGTTTTCTGTTGACCTGATCTTTAAAGATGATAAGATGGAATATAGCATGCTGGCCTATGATACTCCATTTGAAGATGATATAACCGAGCTTTCTAAACTAAGGGGTGGTTGAAATATGCTTCAGTAGGTTCAATTTGGAAGTTTTCAGAAATCTAATTATGGATCCCACTAATGGTCAAAGATGTGAACTAGATTTAGAAAAATCAGAGAGACAATGAATCTTCATTATTTTATTCTTTAGAAAGAACCATAGACTTCTATTTTTTTAAATTATTACAAAAAACCCCATTTTGTTTGAATGAAATATGGTCTACAAGAACAACAGTAATACAGGTTTATCACTAAGCATCTATTAATATTGGCAAACTTTAGTTGTTGCCATGAAAGGATTCACTGCACAGACAACAGTCAGCTCTGTAGTCTTCCCACATTACAATTGAACCTTATTTGAAATTGTACATGATTACTTCCTGCAGACCTAGATCCAGTGTAACGATTCACATAGGAAAACAGAGAATAAGCTATAAACTTGTATAATGCAGAATTCCCCACAAACAACTAAGCAACATTAAATTTTGTATCACAATAGAGGATTTATGCAAATCAACTAATATTAGTTGTATGCCTTAGGGAGTAATTTTGAAGCATTCTATCATTAACAAAGTATAAAAAGATGTACTTCATAATCTCAATCAAACCCTATTTGAATTTAAAGTGTGTTCTCATTTCTGCTCTTTAAATTTAGCTTTATTTAAAACAAAAAGATTATTCTTATTTAAAATAACTTTTTCATCAATTATGTCTGCTAAGTGAATCAGCCTAGAATAAAATCAGAAAGAACAAAAATCTTCTCAGAATAGAATTCAATATTACCAGCTCAATGGACAATGCCATGGAGAAGAATTGCTATATTGTGATTCTCCTTCCATAACTTGTGTGGGCTCAGAGCTACGTGAAGCTACATCTCTTCTGAGGACTAAGTTTTTATGGGAAATTTAAAGTTATGATGGTTTCAAAGTTATACCAAATTGACTTTTCTAACTTTTAATTCCTCATAATACAATTGCCTAATGTAATTGCCTTCATCCTAAGGTAAGGGTTCAAAGTAGTGTTGGAAAAAGAAACACAAGGATTGCTGCAAGAGTGGTTCTGAGGGGAAAGAAAAGAGCAAAATGTATGCTCAGCCAAACTACATCACATGGGCTAGAAAGGAATGATCTTTGAACTTAATGTTTGGGACACATTTTTGCCAGTATGTTTTCATAAATATTCAGACAAAGTCTAATTTTAATTTTTTTTTATAAATATCTATTGACTTGCCACTCATAAGGAGCTGGGAAACAGATAAGGAAGAATCAAGTAGAACATAGAAATCAGGCAGGATATGGGCCAGGGAACCATGAGACACAGAAGTACAGGCCAAAGTACTGGCAGAAACATGGGAAAGCAGAGAGCAATCTTCTCAAAGGTAACCTTGCCCCATAAAACTTTGAAAAACTACACAAAAGGTCTAAGTAGCCAGTAAGCAGCAGTCTACAAAATCCCATTTAAGAGATTTTAAATTGCTCTTCTAAATACATTAATGGAGAATTATAGGGTGAGTAAAGGGCAATGAGCAATGTAAGGAATATGGCACCTCATTTCAAGATTCATTTCCAGACAGTCTAATAGGCCAGGGACCGAAGTTAGACAGAAACCGGCTTAAGTGAGCAGAAAGTGGTTTAAACCTGTAACAGAACAGAAGTTTGGTGCACATAAACCAGTTTCAAAATAGCAGAAACTGGTTTAAGATAAACCTGGTTGAATGTATTATCAGACCTAACAGATTTGGGTCAAACCGGTTTATGGAACTTGTGTCCCAGACCCCTTCCTACTTTAAGTTAAATCAGAGTCCCCCAGCATCCCAGCATGCTTTTCAGCCCTGGGCTGGGCTGTCTACTCCAGAGAGCAGGGCTGGCCCGACCCCTCTCTTCCCTAACTGGAGCTCCAGCTGGCTGAGGAGGTAGGGGACTGCAGCCGGGAGACAGCAGTGTCTGCCTGGCTTCACCCTGCCCCGCCCTCCCCTCACTCTCTGCTCAAGCAGGGATCCCTCCTCTCCCACAGGAGAGACTCAAGCAACACGGGCCCCAGACGGCACCTGGCCACGCCACCCCCATGCTACCTAATGCTGAGAGGAGAAGTGTCTGTGTCCATGTCTCCATTTTCACTGGAACAAAAGCAGACAGGACAGTGTTCATTTAGGGCTTTTTGGAACTAATCAGCAGGTCAGCTAGTAATGTCCTTCCGCTCCTTTCTTGGAAAAAGCTGCTTAAGAAAAGCTTGAACTAATGAGAGAGGCTTTGTTTTCTTGATGGGCTGGTAAGCTCCCTACTAGCTCGCTTGCTTCAAAGGCAGTAATCTGTCAGTGTTCAAGAGGGGACACAGAGAGGTATGAGAAATGACCTGGTTTGCAATGAATGCAGTGTCTGTCAGTTTGCTGAAGAAGTAGGGAGGGGGAGATTGAAAAGCTCAACATCATCAACAGATGCATGCAGTCCACACAGGCAGTCCTCCCTCCTGCCCCCCACCTTTGCCTCAGAGTACTAGCTGGGGGCCAGGGTCTAGCAACACTCCCCACCCCTTGAGCAGTGAGCCGGGAAAAGCCTGTTGAGGGCTGCTTTCCCCTCTTCCTTCAGGCACATCCTGGCTGGGGACTGTACAGGTCAGGGTGGTGGTTTAAACCCCTTCCTAATCTTGGCATCTTGCCAGGGCCTGGCCACACCCCCACCCTAAGCTCAGTACTGTCAAAGGGAAGGGAGAGCTCACTCTAGTGCCTCCCAGCTTCTAGCCTGAGCCACTGAAGGCATGTGCCTGCATTCCCTGATTCAAAAGTGAATGTCTATCCACTTGCATATCAGTTTAATCTCTGCAGGTTAGATTAACCTAAAAAGATTGAATCAATTCAGGCTCAAGTTTTTTGAATGTCTGTTCCTATCCATATTGTTTTTAATTCTTTATAAAGAGCATAATGTTGTTTGAAGTACATCTGAAATCCACCTCAACTGTTTTGCCCCAAACAAGCACTCTTGTTTGTGAATGGAAATGTGTGGCTGCTATAGTTAGTGAGTCTACTGCTTTTTATGAAGATCAAGAATTTTCAAAGGAAAAGTATGCACTGTGGGGGTTTTTGCCTTTCTCTGTAGCAGGGGGCACCATCCTCAACCTGGGATCTCTTGAGCATATATTAATATTTTATAGAAACAGGATGTTAGCTTCCATGGTTTTCCTGCTTTACCTGTGGTAGGTTAGGGCGTTCAATTGTGTATTGTATCAAGGTTCACAGCAGTTTTACAAAGAGTTTTGATTTGGATTTGTATAGGACGGCTTGGATAGGGATGATTCTGCCTCAGACAAGGGTTTCAGATACTCAAGCTCTGGAGGTCCCTCTTGCTTTACTTCTCTATGCTTTTATGAAAAAGAATGTCTTTCTTTTACAAAATGTCTAATTTTGCCCATAACCTTTGACTTAACTTGTTTATGGCCTGGCAAAGATGAAGACATCTCCTTGGGACATACCCTATTTAGTTCGGAACAGCTTTTAGACTATCAGCTGTCTGCCAGGCAGCAGTAGTGGCTTTATCCACTCAGCAGAGTTGGAGTAACCCTGCTACTATGAAGACATATCAAGCAAACACAGATCTGCAGACTCGGCCTTTCTTTGAATACAGAATGGCCTCACAGTCAAAAAGAGATGGAAAACCCAGACAGCACAGTGTTTTTTCCATACCTGTAACAGTTTGTCATAGCGTTCAGCAGACATAAGAAATCGTCCATCCTCAAGCTGCATTTCCCGGTTTTCCAACAAATTGTTTAACACTGGCAAGACGTTCCGCTCTGCCTTCTCCAAGCCTTCCAACACAAGGATTCTCCCTTCTGTAGCCGCACGGACTGCACACTTTTTCAACGACAATAAAGCAACATTAGAAAGAAATACAGTATTATATAGCACATGAAACTGAACTCAAACTTAAGAACGTCACCCTACTCACACTTCCTGGCACAGTTTTTACTTATGTGACGGGCTAGCTGGCAGCGACCTAGCCCAGGGGTTTTGAAAGGGCAAAAGATGATTGGAGGACTTGGGATTCCCTTTCCTCACCAATCTGGTAATGATTTGGCCCAGGGGTTTTGAAGGGGTAAAAGATGATTGGAGGACTTGGGATTCCCTTTCCTCACCAATCAGGCCCCAGAGATTCACCCCTCATGTCCCCTGATTGGCCCCTTGGGTCACCTGGAAGGGAATAAAAGGGGCAGCATGGCTGACTCAGGGAGAGACCAGAGAGAGACTACAAGGAAGGAGCTTCAAAGAGCTGAGCCAGCGGGGCAGAAGCAGTTGCCCCAGAAGAGCCTGAAGGACCAGGACCTGCAGGCAGCAGTGGGACCCTCAGCAGCACGGCGTGTGGCCGGCAGGAGAGGCTTCCTGCTGGGCTCCAGGATCCCCTACAAGAGGCTGTGGCCAGCAGGAGGATCTGAGCAGTGACCTGAGGGGTTCCCAGCTTGGCTTCCAGCTCCTCCAGTCAGAGACCAGGCAGCTCAACGTGAGGCCGTGGCTCCAGGAAGGTCAAGACCCCTAGCAGTTTGGAGCAGTGCCAGCACTGGTGGCTGTGTGGCAGTGTTCCTGCCTACCACCTGTGAAATCTGACTTCAGGTCCCAGCTTTGGTGACTTGGGGTGAGTGAGCTAACAAGGAGAAGTTCCTCTTGCAGTAGAAAGGAGCCATTGTGTTTTCCCCCCTTCTCCCCCTCCAGGTACCTAGGACCTATATTTCTTTGTCCTTTGACATTTTGTATTTTGTGCCTTTTTATATTTCCCCAACCAGTATTGTTTGCTCTGCTATTTGTGTTTTATATTTTGTTAACCCTGTCTTTTGCCAATGATTGTAAGTGTCTAACCTTTGTTGAATCCTGCCCCCTTGGGGCACTGTGGTGTCCACTATACCCCCTGATTATGCCTGTTATGTTCCCAGTATTGTTCCCTCATTAAAAGGTATATGATTAAGTCCCCAGTGGTGGTCTGATCTATAGGGGGAGGAGAGTCCCTACACCTCCCACAGCGCTTGTGCACCTGCTTTGATCCCTGCAACTGGAGAGGGGGTACCTTTTGGAGTACCGCCCGGGTTACACTTACATGTCTGAGTCAGTAGGAACACATATGGAATAAAGCATTATAGCCACTAGTAAGCATATGTAGCATCTTGCCTTTAGACAGTGATTAAATAGAAGATATTTTTCTATATAGAGAAAAAGCTACAACAGGTGTTTTTCTCAGCATTTCTTAACATAGTAAACTGAACTGCATTGAAACAATAAGTTTGTGCAATATGTTTTTGGTAAAATATATTGTGTTGGTATTACTTTACTATGAAAAAAGTGATGAAAAGAGATGCATAAAGGAAGAAGTCTAAACGTCTCCCTTTGAGGTTTAGGGCTGGAACTCAGGTTGTGTGGTACCATCCTATTTAGGTAGCACCACTCATATTAACATAATATGTAAGGCAAAATCAGGTTTAAAAATTACACAAAAAGCAAGTGACAATACAGCAGCAAGACTTAAAAAAAACAGTGGAGCATCTCTATAATGCTACATACTCATCCACTGAGCTAGAATTTAATCTGTGAAATCTGTTTTAAGTAACAACTCAAGGGATCAATAAAAAACAGTTGTTCAAAGATCCTTCATGCCTTATATATCTGTACAGTAAAATGTAACGTTCTTCTACTAATGGATATTAATTTTAAAATATATACAATGAATAAATATTTGGTAATAAGATAAATGATAAACTTTGATTTGTGCTATTTAATATTTTGTTTTTTCCAATATTTTTCATTTATTTTCCTTTTTCATTTATAATATGAACATAAGGAAAATGCAGAAGTCACACGTCAAAGTGGATATTTATAATAAGACAAAAACAAATTTAGAGAGTTTTGATTTAGCCATGAGATTACACTTGCGGTATGCCACTAATGCAATCAACATGATGTTGCTCTAATTTTCTGCCAGCATAGCTCTACTGAAATCAAATGTTCTTGGCTATCCTACTGTACAACTGAAGTAATTTAGAAATAAATCAGACTTTTTTTTAAATGATGGAGTCATAAGTCTCCAATAAGCTATTTGGTGGGTAGGGGAAATAGTTTATGAATGGAGGTGATATTTAAATGAAGAAAACTTGAGGGGATCTGTAGTAAGAACCATTTTGGAAGACTGAGGCTTATCCAATAAGGTGTCATATCTAGAATGTATTGTACTTTATGTTGGAGAGTGAGAACTGTTTATAATAATGGGATGTTGATTTTTAATTAAAAGTTCAGCCACAGATCATGCTGAACCCTGTTGTCAATAATTCAAGTAAATTTCCCCATTTTCCCATGATCTTAGTCCAGTTTATTGAACTTTAGATTCACTATTACCGGCCAGTGGAAGATTACTGAATTTCTAATACTTTCTTATTCACACAATCAATTCGCACAATAAAGGTATCCCATAAAGTACCACCTGGGCTAGATTTAGTTACAGGCACAGTCTTCAGGGATCATATCCAGAAGGATTTAATAGCAGTAGTTTCCTTAAAATGCTTTTATCTGTTCATATAACTGCAAAGGGAATATGTCCTAAAGTCCCTTCCCTTCTCAACATCTCTTCCAAGCTCCTACTAGAGCACACACTTAAAAAAGAGGCATTTCCTAATGCCCTGTCCAACACAGAGCCCTTCAATAAACGTGAGTGAGGGACAGAACAGAAGAAAAGAAATGTAAAACAAACCAAGAGAAGGAAATAGAGATGGGGGGAGAAGACAACAGTGGAAATGAAGAGGGAGAGGGGGAACTGAAAGGGAAGGGAAGGAAGACAAGAAGAAAAACTGAAATTATAGGAACAGGGAGTTACAGAAAAAAAGGCCAAAAACAGGGTCAGAAAGGAAAATGGGAAAGGAAAAAATGCTAAGAAATAATGGTAAAGAATAAAAATGAGAATGAAAAATGGAAAGTAAAATCCACAGAAAACATAGAACTGAAATGAAAAGGAATAGACACACACACACACACACACACACACACACACACACACACAGAAAGAGAGAGAGAGAAAGCAGAGACATAAAACTAAAGAAAAAAGAGAACAGCCCAAAACTTGAGTACAAGGCAACAACACCAATTCATGTGTAATGCTGGAGACAAGGTAAAATAAAAGGTAGAAGTAGAAGATCGACACATTTCTTATGCAAGAATCAGATACGGTAGCAGCACAACAAGCTTCTCAAGCCACCTAGTAAGTAGCAAAGGAAAGAGGCATAACTCCAATTCTAATGAGAGCTACTTACAAATAATATTTCAAATAGAGGGTTACCTTGGAGCATGTATCCGGCTAACTTGCCAGACCACTGATATTACCCTGGTGGGCTACATATTGTATACCTTTGTGCTAAGGATGCCTGGACATTATTGTTTCCAAGCTAGTGATCTAAAAGGAAAAGTCACCCTACATATCATAGTACCTATTTCCAGATGAACTCCTCTTCTCCTGAGCCTGTAGATAAAGTGTATGCAATGTTTTGAATCAATAACTAGCTTCAAAATAAATGTCTGTGGAGGCTGGAATGAGGCCTTAATATATCCTTCTCTTCAACAGAATCGCTAGGTAGACTTAAATTAATTTCTTCTAAAAGCTATATATAAATCAGTTTTATTCTGTTTACCCAGAGCCTAAAAATCAAGACCCTTGTCTGACCATTATTTCTAACAGGCAGCATAAAATGTCCACATTCCTACTCTCCATCCCTACCACATAAAATTCTTCTATCAAAGAAAAACTGACTTTGTGGTCTAGAAAATTATTAGTTAAAATAAAAAATGGGTATCAACTGCCCAAAAAGAAACCTGCAGTCTTCAAAGGTGTCAATCCAGTACTTCGAATTTGCAAACTGTTCTTACTCTGTGTAAGCGCGGAGTGTGAGGAAAGCCAGATTGAGCATCAACAAACTATGTCTTTGCCAAGTTGGTAGGATCCTGTATATTTTATAGCGACAGAGCCTTATTGACTTAATTTTACTAGCCAGGGGAAAATACACAAACAGATCATATGATTTCAAAATATTTTGTGTAACCATAGAATCTTTTTGAATCAATTCAAGTATGTGTACTATGGAGATAGGCTGCAGCCTGTAGCTTTCCAGTATCAATGCAAATCCATTCTCAGTCAATTCATGCGTGATAGAAATTCAGGTTTTCTTGCATGTACTTTTCTTGCATGTACAAGTATATGATAGAATTACTAACTTCAAAGAATAACCCATTAACACTGTCATCAGAATTTTAAATAATGAGAAACATTTAAAAATAAAAAAGCAATTGTAACAATTGTATCAACATCCAAGGATACTGATACGAGCCGTAACAAAGTAACTGTTATGCCTACATGTTTCAGTAGCCATAAAATGCAGCAAAATTGCTTCAACTTTAACCCCATTTCATTCAGGGTCAAAGTTAGAATAATTTCACTCAGGGTATTATTATAGAACCATACTGATGTAACAGCTACAATGTAACACCTACTGCACACTCCCAAACAGCAACTCCTTCTCCCCTTTAAAGCAGGGATTGTTAACATTTTCAGAAGTAGTGGGCCAAAATAATACAGCTCAGTCTGAGGAGGGACAGCACTTCTGAGCTAGGCGGTGCTGCTAATCCCAGCTGCCAAATTGCTGTCAGTGTGCACGTGACCTGACTGACATTTTGGAAGCTGCAGAATCCCCCTGCTGCCGAAATGCCACCAAACTGCCCCATTGCCAAAATGCCACCAATATCTAGACTTCATAGGCTAAATTAAATGTTTTGGTGAGACAGATCTGGCCTGTAAGGCTTAGGTTTCCTGCATCTGATTAAAAGGTATGCAT